TGGCAGTACTCTCCACCTGGCAGTGGGGGAGACCATCTATCATGGGCAGGGCTGGCCATCCAGTTCCCCTGCTGTCTCCCAGCATCTAAGAACAGAGCCTTGCAGAGTCAGCACCTGGTAAATATGTGACAAGGCAGTGAAGACACACATTTAAGATGACGCCTCATAGCCTGTGTTCCTGAGATTTGGCTTCTGTGACTTGTTGTTTTCACTGGGGAATAGCAGATCGGACTTTACTTACAAAACATAAGGTGAAAGTAAAATTATAAAGCCAAGACCATGCAAAACATTAATCCAAATGAAGTAGGGGGTCCTGGGTGACTGCCTACATAGGTCCTTGAAACTACCTGGCCAACCGTGCAGCACTCCCAGCCCCGAGAGATTCAGACAAAACCCCAGCAATCATAGCACAGCAGGATAATGCTGCAGGGGAAGGAAATGCAGGGGTTAACAGGAAAGAACCGTGGGCCAGACTAGGTGGGTAGGGGGCCATGAGGCATTCGGCAAGTTTCCTGGAAAAAACCCCATGTGAGCTAAAGCAAATCCTGAAGGATAAGAGGGGTTTACCCAGTCTTAGGAGGGTGGGGTAAGAAGTAATGTGAAAAATGAGGTCAGGCCAGCTCTGCCCTGCAACCCTCTGGAAGCATCCTCAGACCACTAAATACAAAGCTGGCCTTGCTGAAAGTGGTAGAGCTAGCTCTCAGCCAAGTGGGACCCTGGGGAGCAGGACCATGCCATGGTGAACACCAGAGCTGAACCCAGCCAGCCGGGTAGTGCACCAGCGTAATCCCAGCTCCTGCAATCTCAGATGGGCTGGAAGATCAGGAGTTCAAAGCCAACCAGGACAATTTAGTGAGTCCTTGTCTCAAACTAAAAAGGGCTAAGAAGGTAGCTCTGAGGTAGAACTCTTGCCTAGCAGGGTGTCAATACCAGGACAGCAAACACACACACACACACACACACACACACACACACACACACACACACACATTTACTGAGCCTGGTGCCTGATTACAGATCTCATAAGAGTTTAGCATAACCCAGGGGGTTTAGGCTCCCTTTACAAAGGACAAAGCTGAAGACCAGAAAGAGGAAGTGACTGCCTAAGGGGCCCCTATAGGGGACAGCAGAGCTGCTGCGTGTGAACCAGAGCCACCCAACTGCAAGGCCAGAATCACTGCCACATGCTCCTGTCTTACCCATGGTAAGGGCCCCAGACAGAGGACTAGAGATTACCAGGGAGATGGCTCAGTAGAATAAGCACTTCTCTGGCAAGCGCAAGGACCTGAGTTCAATCCCCGGTTCTGCAAACAGAGAGAGAGAGAGAGAGAGAGAGAGAGAGAGAGAGAGAGAGAGAGAGAGATTACTAAACAAGGAACCAATGAGCCATCAGGCATTTAAATGCACCCTTGGGCCAGGGAGATAGCTCAGTAGAATAAATGCTTGCCTGACAAGCGCAAGACCCTGAGTTCAATTCCCAGTACCACAAAAAATAAAAGAATTTAAAAAATAACAAATGCACCCTTGAGTCAGCCAGATAGCTCAACAGATTAAAGTGCTTGCTTAGGCAGACATAGGGGTTGGAGGTTCGACCCAGGCCTGCGGTGTTGCCTTGTTGGCCCCACCCCCAAGGCATGCTGAGCCAGCGAATGAGGCTGGGTGTGCTGGTATGAGCCTGTAATCCCAGAGCTTGGAGCCTGAAAAGCGGGAAGGATCACTGCAAGCCCGTAGAAGGCCTCTGTAGACCCTGTGCTAAGTACATTTAAAAAAAAAAAAATGCACCTCTGCTCCTCCAGCTTCTGTCTCTCCCGCTAAGGTACCTGAGGGGGCACAGAAGCGCCACCCACCCAAAAAGCTTGAATGGTGGCAGAAGAGGCAGCCAAAGCCCCTGCAGGAAGGAGCTGGCTGTACCCTGGGACCACATAGGGGCAGCACTGGAAGTCAGGGTCCCGCACTTAACAACTGCCTGCCTGGCCCACACACGGATTCCCAGTTCCTTATATGAGGACACTGTTCTGGAAGTCTGCCCTTGGACAAGCTCCTTGTGGTCCCTCTTCCACTGGTCTTAGGTCTGTATGTTTTAAAAGACATCAATGAGGTAGACAAAACACAAGCACTTCGGCCCAGTTCAAATCCTACTGCCACCTCTGCGTAGCTGCTCCACCTTGGAGGAGAGACTTTCTGAAATCTGTAAGGCTAAGAAAAAGGCAAAGTGTGAGGCTCACGTTTTTAACCCCTGCTTTTGGGTCCCAGCCACTAGCTGTAATGCAGGTGACAAGGTGCTTTGTGAAGGACAACACAGGAGCTTTCGCGTTCTTGGCGCTGGAATGGAACCAGCAGCTGCAGTCAGAGAGCAGCTACAGCCTCAGGGTCACCCATGCAGGACCAGCGCTCTGGGCTGGCTCCATCCGCCCATCTCACTCCACGGCTGCTGGCTCCCACCACGTGCAAAGGCCGCTCAGCCGTGGAGCTGGGTCCTCGAAACTCCCTGGCCACACAGCTGGCACGGCTGAGTCATGGAAAAAGTGAGTTCTGCGGGCCGCGGCGCACCTCTCGCCTCTTGCACAAAGGCTCCTTTCAAGGTTTGGGGGAGAGAGAAGAGACACTGAGGGGCCTCCTTCCAACTGGGAAAGAGAAATTTCAAACTTCACCCTGCAGTTCAATTCCACATCCCCCACCCCAAGAATCAGAGAGGAAAGGCAACCAGGGCGAAGGCTAAAGGATGGGGAGCGGGGACGGGTAGGACACATCCCATACAGCTGTCACAGCAGCCAGGCCAGGGGTACCCTCAAGGGACCCTGCCCAACACCTTCACCTCATCTCTGGGTATCTTCGGGGAGGATGGTAGAGGCTGCAACAGCCCTGTCTGGGCAGCTAAAGTTGGAGAAGAGCCCGAGGCTCACAGGGATGCCAGGCCCACAAAACCCACATCCTGAAGGTGGACCCAGTAGAAACAAGGGCACCATCTACTCCAGACCAGCTCTGCATTTGCCAACCTCTGCTGGGATTGCCTGACGATGTGCTTTTTCCCTGACTTCACCCCAAACAAGACAGGAGCACCCTGTGTGGCCTCACAGGTGTTGTTCAGTGCTAAGCCTCCGTTTCCTCCCTTACTCAATGTGCAATGCCGCCCACCTCCCAGGCTGGTAAGGAAATTCCTGTGTGAGGGTCCATTCGCCATGAGAATGTAAGGGCCCCCTAAGAGCTGGCTTGGCATGGAAGGGTGGAGTGGCTGCTGAGGTGAACCTGCTTCTCTGAGAATGGATTATTGTTCGGTACCTCTGTGCTTTAGTGTCCTCCTCATGAACAGTGGGGGCAGGGGTTAGCATCTTCACAGGACCTCTGCTCCTTGGAGTGCTAACCCTACACAGGAAGAAAGGCCTAGAAGTACTGGAAGCTGCTTGGAGGTGCAGGGTCCCATCGCGGCCACTAGGCGGCTCCAAGGATAAAGGATGAGCACAGAGAGGGCAAGCAAGGTTGGGTTTCTAGACTTCGGCCCTCATTGCAGGCCTGGCGCTGCTGGTGGGAAGAGACTGTCTCTCTCAAACTGGGATTTCTGTCCCATCTTTATAGGTGCAGAAGACGGGAAGAAAAGGTCACCGTGGTGGAGCCCCAGGAACAGAGGGTGGTGGCTTGGGCTTGGGTCATGCTTCTGGAGGGTGGGATGGAGGCCGGAGGGAGTCTGCTCTGTGGTCCTTGGCATGTCCTCATCCTCCTCCCTTCTTGCCAGAGCTGGGCGGGTTGGGAAAAGGAATCCAGTCTGGGGATGGATCACTCCCTTGTGCACTTTCTGGAGGGGTAACCTGGAAAATAGGATAATGCTTCCATGGCAGGATTGGTGGAAGGATTGAAAGGCCCTTCCGTGTCAGAGAGTTTCTTTCTAACCCTGTCCTCCCCTCTGCTCTTCCAAAAGCTCCCAGTCCACCTGGAACAAAGACCTTCATCCCCCAAACTGCCAACCTCTCCCAAGAACCACAGCATCTTTGCAGGGGCATCCTCCTCCCCAAGGCAATGTTTCTCAAAGTGACTTTCTCACCTAGCCTGGGTAACCACTTGTGCTAGACATGATGGTCTACACCTGTCATTGCAACACTCTGGGTGGTTGAGGCAGGAAGGCTGCAAGCTTGAGGTTTGTCTGGGCAATTTAGTAAATTAGGGAGAGCCTGTCTCAAGGGGTGTAGGGCTGGGAATGTAGCTCAGTGCCAAGGCCCTGGGGTTCAATCTCCAGTAGGGGAAAAAAAAAAAAAACAAGCTGCTGCTGCATTGGAATCTCTGGGGCGGAGGCCCAGGCCTCCGGGTCTGAACAAGTCCCAGGCTGGCTGGAAGGGCTGCCCCAGATTACAAGGCAGCTCCCTGGCTGGCTCTCCCTCTGGCCCAGGGACGTTCAGAGGAGGCGGGAGGCAAGTCCCATCAGCACTTTAAACTAGGGCTCTTTCTTCATGACTCACCTCCTAGACTTCCTGCAACCGACAACCCTAAATAGCTTAGTCCCACCCTCCCGCAGGGACACGTTCCCGCTGGGGAAGGCAGGAGGTTACAAGGTGGGCGCCCGATGGGGCAGCCCAGGGAGACCCAGGGAGCAGTGCCGCTGTCTGCACTGCACAGGGCCACAGGTTTAAGACGTTTTGTTTACAGGCTTTTGTTATTAAGGAAATTGCTGTCAGTCAAGGTAATTCTAGCCCCCATAAGCAATAAATATGCTCCCAGCTAATCTTACGGAGATTTTATTGGCACCTGGGAGGCTCCTTTACCCTGCCCACCCCCTCCCCTCAAAGCAAAAGCAAAACCTCGTCGATCCCCCCACCCCCACTCGCTCAGCCTCGCGTGGGACTCGCTTGGATGGGACTGAGAAAGTGCCCTCTACTACAACAGGAGTCCAGGCAAAGGTGGGGCGTGACTTCCTGGTCGTACCTGGATGCTGGGGATGACCAAGTGACCTGAAATAAACCCTGGGCGACCTGGTTAATTCAAGGCATGCGCGAGCTCGCGAGGGTGGTCACCTGGCCGCGGCAGCAAGGAATGCCTCCGGGAGGGGCTGGCTCGCTGGAGTCGGTTCCAGCGCGTTCGAGTTCCAGCTGCGTGCCCTCGGGGACACCGGCGGCAAGTCGCAGCTTGCAGCGACGGGAGCTAGTCCCGGGAGAGCTCGAGTCTCGGCGAGCCCGGGAGCGCGCCCGGGAGCGCGCCCCGCGACGGTGCAGGGGGAGGGGAGGTTCCTGCAGCCACTCAGAGGAACGGTAGTGAAGCCTCCGAACAACTTTAACTGTCAATCAGACTTAATGGGGTATTTAAAAAAATGGAGAGGGGAGGGCCATTCTCTTGCTCCGCGCCGGAGCCGCCCCGTGAGCGAATGAATAAGGCCGCGCAGACAAGGGTGTCCGATCCACGCGCGCTGCACACCCGGACCCTCTCCAAGTTGGAAAGGACAAAAAGAAGGCAATAAATGCTAAAAGGAAGAGAGAGGGAGCCGGATCGAGCGGCAACTCCCAGCCTCTGCTGGAAGAGGAAGAGGGAGGGAGCCCGCGGAACGAGCGCGCGCGAGGCCGAGCCCTGCGCGCTGAGCCCCGGACCCAGGACCGCGCTCCTCCTGCGCGCTGCTGGCACTCAGAACGCGTTTGAGCAATTTCCTGAGCCCAGGAATAGCAATGAGCTGGGCGACTTTCGCGGGCTGAAACTGGGAGCGCTAAGCACTTTTCCTCCACTTTGCCCCCTGGAGAAGCGGGGGGCTCTACAATTTGGAAACGGCTTTTTTTTTTTTTTTAATCTTGCACTTTGGAACCGCGGTGCTGAGCAGGGTGCGCGCGTGTGACTGGCTTTTTTTTTTTTTTTTTTTCTTTCCTTTCCCTGCCTAAACTCCTCTGTCAGTCTGTAAACATTACCTGAGAATTCCCCGGCCGAAACGGCTGCTGGGGCAAGAAACTTCTTGTCAGAACTTCCCACCTCCGGCTTCCCCGCCACCCCTCGCTTCGTCCCAATCTACCGAGACGTTTTTTCTCCTCCCGAGGAGGATTTATCTTTTATTTTATTTTTAAATTTTTTACCCTTTTTCAAAAGCACCCTGTGGATCGCTTTTGGGGAGAGATCATTGCAAGAGTGGCCAAGTGGGACGTCTCCCTCCTCCGTATTCGGGTTCTTGATTATTGTTTAGGGTGTTTTATTAATTCCCGTTTTGCTCGGTCCGGGGAGTTTCGCCCCCTGCCCGGCTCCGCGGCGCATAGGATGGTGTGGAAATGGCTGGGCGCCTTGGTGGTGTTCCCCCTGCAGATGATCTATCTGGTGGCGAAAGCAGCCGTCGGACTGGTGCTGCCCGCCAAGCTGCGGGACCTGTCCCGGGAGAACGTCCTCATCACCGGCGGAGGACGAGGCATCGGGCGCCAGCTAGCCAGAGAGTTCGCGGAGCGCGGCGCCAGAAAGGTACGTGGCGCGGCGACTCCTGGGCGGGCGCGCTGCGGGAGAGGGGACCACCGGTGCGGGGTGCGCCCACCTGCTGCGGCTGCTGGGGGCCGGGAGTCGCCGGCCTTCCGGCTCCTCTGCGCCACCAACCAGGGCTGAGCTGGTCGGTTTCACCTTGTAAATTTTCCGGACACCAGACTGTTTTGTCAGATCTGGAGCTGATCAGCTCCTACAGGGTTGGGTGGCGGGCTAGCTGTTTGCCCCCACCTCGCAACTTAGGAGACCCACACATCTCCGCATTCCTCTCTCCCTAAGAAAGTGTGGGGTGCCACCCCCACCGCCAACCCTGCGCTCCCCAACCCTTTCCCTTTTTGTAGCCACCCTGGTGAGTTCAGTGTGTGCGGCTCCTCTACAAATGGTTGCAGCCTGCTAGCTAGCGTCTGGTATTTTCCTTGGCAACCTGCTTCCCAACCCAACCTGGGCGGTTTTAGTTGTGAAGACGCGGTAGGGCGGGGGACGGAGGTGGGGGATACTTGGCTTGGGCTGGAGAAGGAAGGATCTGTCTGGGATGGTCTAGACTAGCAGGACCGGCACTAGGAAGCCCAGGTGTTTGGAAATCAGGAAAAAGGACAGAGGTTAAATAGCCTATGATAAAGAGCCCTTGTTCTCACCTTCAACCCTGGCCCCTCCCCCCGACTCGTTCCTAAAGGGATCCTTCCCAGGGGGCTGGGAGGTGGCACTTTGCACTGCCTTACACGTTTTGCTGGTCCCAGCACCTCCGGCCGGCCCGGGTATTTGGAGACCTGGTGCTTCCGAGTAAGGAGAGTGAGCCAGCTGTCACCCAACTGAGGCCAGGCTGACCCAACCAGTGACAAGAGCAGTGGAGAGTGGGATTGGAGGCGGCAGGGCAGGCCGGGCTGTCTGGCCCAGTGAAGAGGAAGATGGAAAACAGGGAATTAGTTTGAAACTTAAACTGTTGTGAATGAGGGGGGGCGAAGGGGCCAGCAAAGCCAGCTGATCTGACACGGAGCCACATACCTTGGGGATTAAGTAAATATGTACTGTGGAAACCAAGCCTACATGTAATTCCAGGTTGCTTTTCTTTTGTTAAATTCTGCCCAGAGATTTACAGTTCCTCCGGGTGGCTCAGACTAGGGCTGAACTTTGTTCTGAACTATCGGCCAAAGCTGATTGCTGATTAACTCTTCCCTAGCCGGGCTGCCCCTGGGGCCTGTGGAGGCTGGATTAGTGGGGTCCACTGTCCAGGACTCCCTCTTCTCCTTGGGTGGTTTGGACAGCTGCTTGACTTTGCAGTTGGAAGGGGATTTCAGAAGTACTTTTAACCCTTAGACACCTGGAAAAAGAGGAAGACTTGTTCTCAGTGTTTCACTTCCTTGAGATGGAGTACTATGTTTCAGGGTTCCCAGAGCCCTTGAAGAAGGGGATCAGGGTAGAGGAGGGTACTTTTGGGAATGGTGGTTTGGGACAGTTGAGTGTGATATGTCACTCCTGAGCCATCTGCACCCCCCAGAGACATTCTCCTCACTCTCCAGCTGGCCCTGGTCCTAAGCTCTTCCTCACACTTTGGTAACCAACTGCAGTAGGCATAGGAGGAACTTTTAGTCAATCTGGAAAAACTTGACTGACTATAAACAACCCTAGGTTGAAGAAAAGAGAAGGTCTTGGGGTTGGGTTTAACAAAGCAGAATGGAGCCTGCAGGCCCATACACTGGAAGCCAGAGCCCTGCCTAACTCAGAGAGACACCTTCTTCCAGGGCCAATTGGAAATACTCTTAGATTGGTGGCAGGGTTACCCACGGGGGCCTGTGAAATTTCCAGTGCCACTCACGCTAGGCTCAGCCCTTAGACCAGGTGGGATGACCAGGAGGGCTCCCTGTAGCTCATAATTATCTGACCAATGACTGAAGCTACTTTCTAACAAGCCTTCCGGTAGTTGCACTCAGGGAGGGGAATTTGGAATCCAAGTGTCTGGCCTGAGTGCATCTGGGGCCAGTGAGCGGACTTCCAGAGAATTCCTGGAGCTGTGGTGTTGCGGGAGTAGGAAATTTAGGGGAGATGGCTGAGTGGCTTGAGGACACATGTTTGAACAGTGGGCCTGAGGATGGTCCAGGAGTTGAGGAGGGTCACTGCCACCCACAGCCTGCAGTGACATCAGAGGTGCTTCCCTGTGGAGACCCAGGACTCCCTGCTCCCCTGGGAGAAATAGAAGCTACCCCTTGTGCCTAGATTCTAGTGGGTTGGATCTTGGGGGGAGGTCCCCAAAAGAGAAGGGGGTAGAGTGGGCACCTCAGCAAACAGCCAGCATGTTCAGGAGGAAGGGGTGACAATCTGGCTTCTCATAATGACCTTGAGTTAAATAGAATTTGTAAATACTTTGGGGTCTGAATAATAAGCCTTAGAGTACAAAATATCCCTGAATAAGGGTTTTCTTCAAGGAACCAAGTGGATTCAAGAGTTCAAAGGTTCCTAACCAGGCCCTTTGTACAGACTGCCAAGGTTGCAGGGATAGGGACAGTCACCCACTGGTCTCACAGGGCAAGGCCTGTGCTAGGTTCCCCCTCCCATGTCCCTTCATTTTCTGGGCCCTCCTGGGACTCCTCCATGAAACAGTGCCACCCAGCCCCCTTCCCAAAGGCTTCTGGCTAGTCAGCCTGCTCACCCGGACTCCAAAGCCTTTGAGCTTGACATAGGTTGTTCTGAGTAGGAGCTTAGAAAGTGGAGGAGTTTGGAAGTCTTCACAGTGGCTCTTTCTGACTTTGGTCACATACCACACCCAGGATAAGAACCCTGGGCCCTGCAGAAGCAGACCTGCTAATGACCAGCTTGGAGTCCTATCTGCTTTGCTATTACTGAATTTCTAGTTTGCAGGGGGCGTGCGACCCTGTTCCTAGAGCATCTTTGAGGAACTCGTCCTCCAGCTGGATGTGTGAATCCTGGCTCTGTGCCCTCCATTCTGCCAGTCCCCTTCCTTCTTACAGCCCACAGTGGAGCCCACCAGGCCCATGATTCAATTGATGGTGTCAGGGACTCAGCTCAGCAAAGTACTTGTGTCTGACAGGTACCTGGCACAGCTAGGCCTGTAGGAAGCAAAGCAGAGAGGAGTAAGACCTAGAGATGGCCGAGTGCTAAGAGCGAAGGCAGATTGCCACCTGGGGGCTCCAAAACAGATGACCCACGACGACGAGTCCCTCTTGCTAGTCATATTCCAGCTCCAGGTTGGAAAATACCTGTGTTATCTTTCTACAAGCTGCCCGCTCCCACTTCCCCACAGCTGTCTACCCTGAATGTATCTCAACACTCGCAGATGATGTTAACGTTTTCCACCAAAAACTGAAGGTCCCAGTTCCCTAACTAGGCTATCAAGTGAACTCCCGTGATTTTTATCCTAACATCACCAGATCCTCTCTTTGGGCTGCAGGCAGTACTTGCTAGATCTAGGAGTAATGATCCTGAATCCTCAGTCCCACCTAGCCCGACCTTCATCTACCTTAACCCTCTGCCAGTTCTTCAGACTTCATCTTCTTCTGAGATTTTATTTTTTCAGACCCAAGTGCATTTGTTTATGACAGCACAGAGCCCTTTGGGTCTACTTAGACGCTGCCAGTAGTTCCCTGATATGCATCGTTACAGTTAATTCCTGTGCCTCATATCTGTCTGTCATTTGTTGATACCATCATTTTGAGAAAAGCGTCTTCCCTGTATTGATGAGAAGGTGTCCCTTCTACCCAAGAAAGGTGTGTGCTTGTCACAATCACTGTGACTCACCTCTGAAGTTGCTACCACCAAAGATTCCCAGGGGTTGAACCTCCTTCCCCCTTACCTTGGACCAAACCATGCCCAAGCTGAGAGCATCCATTCTCCTGCTGCCTTCAGAGATGTAAATCTAAAGGTATGCGGTGTCTGTCAGAGACTCAGGAGCATTTCACGCAGTGTCGCAATGTACCATGCAAGTCAGGGAGCGGGTAAAGCCAAATGGAAAGAAGTGATTCTGTTCAGACAGGTGCACTCTCAAATGTGTGCTCCTCCACCGCATTCCCAAAAGTGAATGCTAAATAGAATTGGCAATAGGCACGTGCCTTGTTTCTCAAAAGTGTACCAAGGTACGGAACAGGTTAGCAAGTGAGTGGTTGACACGGGCTCATTCATTCATTTCCATTTTTATACACTGAACAAGTTTACTGTGCGTCTACTATGTGTCAGGTACTATTCTGGGAACTGAGGCTGGGGAAATGGCCAAAGATGGAAATCCTCACCCATGTAGATGCCTGAGCGAGCAAAACAGAGGCAGAAAGAGATGAGAAATGAGATGAATACAGTGGTGTGTGAGATTGCTAAGGAGGGAAACTGGGCACAGAGTTCAGACATTAATAAAGAGGACAGCAGGAAGGCCAAAGTGGGGGTGCAGTGGGATGGAAGGAGGCAGCCTTCTGGTACAGGAAGAAAGAGTGTTCCCAGGCGAGGACACACTGGGGTTTGGGGGAACATGGGAGCAGCCAGTATGGCTGGAGCAGAGCGAACCTGGGGTTGGGAGGACAGCGTACCCCGGTTAGTCAGGGCAGTGGGCCCCGCAGACCTCAGATAGGCCTTGGTTTTACCCCTGCATGAAACTGGAGCTGCTTACAGATTTTGAGTGATGAAAGAACACCACACAGGTCTTAGCAAGGTTGCTGGGAAGTGGGCGAGAGTGTCAGGCCTGAGGCGGGACACCAGATGAGAGGTGGCTGGAATCCGAACCCCACCCCCACAAGCCACACCAGGCTGGCTTCCCCTCCTCTTTGAGGCTGTGCAAAGCTCAGGACCTTGATGTGTCACTGTTCAGGAGCCTTTCTGTACTTCCAATCAGATGGCAACAAGGGGCTGAAGGGGCATCCAGGTGGGATGCAGTGACGCTTTCCTGTTCTTCACGGTCCAAAGGCTCCTGGCGCATTGTCATCAGCACAGTGCACACAGAGTGTCATGGGGCAGCTGGAGGAAGTCCAGGGAGCAGGTGACAGATGCTG